CTCCTTTCTCGGCGAGGGTTGGGCTGTCGGAGGCAGCCGCGTGGCAGCGCTGACTCGTGTGTGTCTGTCTCAGATGAAGGCTCCAAGGCAGCCAACGGCGACTCTTCGTCTGCTAACCCTGCCATGAAGTGACACGGGCGGCCCAGGCAGCAGGCCGAACACAGAACCGGAACTGGACTGCATGACAGAACCGAACCGAGCTGCAGCTCGTACACCAGCTCGCCTGGGAGGAGAGGCCGAGTGAGGGCAGCTGTTGTGCGGCGTCTCTGTGGAGGGAGTGGAGGGGTGTTGGCCGTCAGGTGCTAAGAACAAGAGGATCTGGAGGTCAACAAGCTGACAGGAAAAGGGTTCCCAGCAGCCACTGCTGCACTCTCCCCTTGTCCCAGCCGGGGGAGCTGTGACCCAGCAGAACGTGCAGAATTGTGGGTAACATCTCCACACTGCCCCCTGCTTCCTGCTGCATGTAACTGTACATCACCTCCTTCCAGTAATACTCCCGAATTTCCCCTCTGCAAACACAACAGTTCTGACTTTCCTTCTGCTTTTAATAAATCTTGAGTTGCTCTTGTGCTTTTCCTCCACGTTTTACTTTAATTGTTCTGTTTTGACAGGGAGGCCGGGAAGGCTGCTCAATCTAGCGTTTCGATTCTGGTTCTGCAGTTTTGTCTGTGATACAGACACGTGGATAGATTGTGTTTTGAGTGAAGCCTGTTGATCTAGTTGAGTTTGTACGTAGCACTGAACAAGCTGAGAGGCTGTTCTTACTCCCAGTAGGACAGAAGACAGGACTGTTGTAGCTAATTCACCACACTGACACTGTTAGTAAATGCGCTTACGCAGTTGTCCAAGGATATAGAAAACAAGACATTCCTCACGGAGTGCTTAGAGAGTTAGTTTGAACGACGGCTTCTCAAAGCCTTCTCTTGAACAAGTTCCCAGTCGTGGATCCCCACATCAGCCAGTGTTTGATCCACCTGAGCCCTCAGTTACATACTAGAGCCTTAATAGGCCCAGTATTGGGTTTAATTTGAGCTCTTTGTTTTCAGCTCCTAAAGATGTGGGAGGGTACCTTTTTAACTCTTTTTAACTCTTATGTTTCACAAGTAGCTTAAGATCTCCAACCTAGAAAAAAAGTACAACTGTTAGTTCCCAGGACCAAGTCAGAAAATGCTGTGTGAACCCATGTGCAACTTTTTCAATCGTGACATGTCCGTGTGTTTTGAAGGTAGTCTACAGTAGAGCGTCTGGAGGTCATGGCAGCATTATTATGGTCTCTGGTTTTTGGTTTCTACAAGGGAGAGACGTGATGTCTTCTCCTGTTGGGCATCTGTCCGTTGCTGTGTATTTAAAAATGCCAAGTTCCTTCAGTCTTCCATTGAACCTGCCTTTTCAGTACTGCTAGAGGCCTGGGAGAGCTCTTCATTGGTCGGGCCACTAGCTTGTGATCTGGAACAGGTGGAGCTCCGGAGGTGTTTCTGCCATTGTTATCGTACATTAGGTTGGGTTAGGAGTCAGAAGTAAGGCAGCGAGGTTGATATGAGAGCCCGAATGTTAAACTGACAGCATGTTTGATCATGAGGATCTTAAACTGTCTAATTTTATTTAAAGCAAATGGGTATAAAATAATTTCTGAGACCTGGAAGTGCAAGGCTGTGGATGTTAGAAGGCACAGTTCAGGAACACGAAGGATAAACAAGGGCATTGGGGTCCATTGCACTTATTTAATTGCTAGTAGCTCTTAGATCCAAAGATCTCGCTCATCTGTTTCTCGAAATTATCCAGATGATCATATCTAGGGACACACATGGCTGGGAAGTTTGTTCCAGACTCCCACAACCCTTTGTGTAAAGAAGTGCCTGTTTTTTTCATTTCAGCTTTTGTGTTCTGCAGAATTAATTTTGGATTCTGTCCTGCAAGTAGGGCACTTAACTCTAATGTTTTGAATTATGTTCTTTAGCTTAACACACTTGTTATACTAAACTATCCTCACACTTAATATCTGTGAGGAAGCCTGAGAAAGTAGACCTTGTTTTTTATGGGTTTTTTTTGTATAAAGTGAAACCCATTTTAGCACCAGCGTTCTTGTTGATTTTGTTTTAATTCATGCACATTTAATGACCAAATAGAAAATAATCAAGATAATCTAGGAAATGTATTCCAGGGAGCTCCCAACATGGTTTGTACCTTTCTTGTGTGTTTCCTGACAGCCTGCAACCTAGGAAAGCGCAATCAATTATAATCTACACTGACTTTCATATTGCTTTATGTGCTTGCTGTTGTCCTCTACAGCGCAGATCTTAGATCTGTACCAGATTTGTACACTGCTGGGTGTTTTACTGGCGCAGTCCGAGTGAAGTGCTTCGCTCGAGTGTACAACAGCTGTGTGCAAACCAGGATTTGAACCCCTCAACTTCTCCTTACTAATAATCACTACTTCCAACATGTTTTAGTAATACTGTACTTAAACCAATTCTACAGTCTTACAGTACAAAACCCCACTGTCTCTTGTGGGGGGGAAAAACCTTTAAGACAATAGATTAAAGCAGTTGTGTTACAAATCCAGAGAGGTGATTCTCCCCTCCGATTCTGCAGTCTCTGCCACCATCGGCCTGAATGTCTTAAAATAAGTGATGATCGGGACAAACACTATTCGAATCTTCAGTAATGACATTTTTGTATCTGCAGGGAGAAAGAATGATTTCACCACCATGTGGGGTCATTTTACCAGTTTACATCTTGTGTACATTCCTGGTTTTACCCTTCTTTTATAAACTGCCTTTATGTAAATTTAATATATGCCTAAGCACAGAGTCATTAATGTGATGTACATGGATATGAATAATAAAAACATGTTTTTTAAAGTCACCTGTAGTGTGGAGTCTCATGTCTGTCCCATATAGTCTGATATCTAAAGCCAATGATCATGGATCTCATTGGCAGGTTAGGGGTGGTCTCTGACCCAAACCTGGAAGCCCAGAGAGAAAAGCAGGACTGTACACGGGGTAGGATGCCAGTCCACTGCAGGCACCAAGGCAGGGCACTACAGAGGTTGGACACCAGTCCACTGCAGGTAGCAAGGCAGGGCACGACACACGACACCAATCCACTGCAGGAAGCAAAGCAGAGCACTACACAGGTAGGAGGCCAGTCCACTGCAGGGGGCAAGGCATAGCCCTACACAGGTAGGAGGCCAGTCCACTGCAGGGGGCAAGATCGGGCACTACACATCGCAATTCTCCATGTATAAGGTTTACAGAAACGCCCCAGGTAAAGCAATGCTCAACTACTACAACTTTGTAGGTAATGACACTGTAAAATAATTTAAATTCATATGGTGTGTTTTTATAAATTTATGTAAGCAGACTGCTTACACACATAGTGCTTCCTTAACTTCAGTAAACCATCAGTTTGTATATTTAATCCTTGTCTACTTTTACCTATATATGTCTACTTATATCTGTATGCAAAATACATTGTATTCACTGTAACAATGTGAAATAATGTGTCATTGAAGGATAAAGTAGTCAACGTTCCCATAGTTTGAGTATAATTAATATATATTAATATGAATTATATCAAGACAGTATCTTCTGCTTACACTAGTCAGTATGAAATGATAGCTTTAAATGTGAAACGCTGGTGCTTAATTTGTAGCATCAGTACCATAATTAGGGAGTTTAGCAGTGGTATATGAGACTATACTTTGTGATTTATCATAGTAAACTTTAATATTTTAGGGTATTTTTAAATGACTGCAGTGTATGATCAGAAAGTTTTTACCAGAGTATTTTTTAGGTAAAGATGCTGTCTGCTCATCATAACGGCATCTTATTCGGTGGACTCTTCCTGGTGTGTGTCCTGCGAGTGTGCTCGTTGGTTACGTATGAGCAGCAAAGAATTTCATGTGATCGACTCCCGTTCGACAAATGCCAAGGTTAGAAACTAACTTCTGCTTCCATCCAAGATGCTCTGAATGACGGACCCATAGGAAGCAGAGTGATTTCGTGGACCAGGGTGGGATTGGGATTATTTTTATTTTTTAATAAACTTCGATGTCCAGGATTGGAACAGCTGATCCTAACACACAGCGGTACAGAGGAGGAGGTGAGTGTCGCAGAACAGGAGGGAAGAGCCTTACAGGAACCGGATTCCTGCACCGAACTGGACTCCGTCGCATATCCTGCAAATACAAGCGGATCTCGGTGTTAGAACCCTGTGTGGGAGCAGCTGGGACGCTAGGCTGGGATAATCTGCTGGGGTTACACAGGGGCACGTGGGGGTGCTGGACATACAGTTAGGACCCCTGGCCGAGATGGGGGCTTCCTTTAAAGGGTGGCCCGGGCATCAGGCCAAGCTGAAAATGCACACGGCCAGGACTGTACCTGTCTCCGCTCTGAGCTCCCATGGGCACACAGTAGTTCAGCTCCAGCCTGGCGATGTTGCCCAGCCTCAGCACTATCCCCGCGCCGTAGGACCAGCGGATGCACTCGGCCAGCCTCTGCAGATGAGCGCGCGGCCCTTCGCCTGCCAGGGGGCACACCGCAGGTCGGAAACGTTAGAGCGCGAGAGCAGACGACGCAGGGACGTCCGTGACAGAACCTTTGTGCTTGGCAGCAACGCGGACAAAGGTGGAGCTTTACCAGTTTCATTAATTCACTTCTTTCTGGTCATTTCCAATTTCCACGATGTCCGGCACTGACGGGCAGGAGCAACTGAAACCCTTTTTTCAGTTTGAGCAGGGAAGATTACGAGGGGACCTTATATAAGTCTTCACAATCCTCATGCTAACGCCAACCCAGCAGGGCGAAAGGCGCGTGGGAACTGTGTGGAAGTGCATGGCACCCCAAGGCTGCTGGGAGTGTGGACCAGGCTACTGGCTACCCCCACTTGTCGACAGGCCGATTGGTCTGCCCTTGTTTGTGACTGTCGTTCTGTTCTGAAGGCTGGATGATAATGGCGGAAATGATTAAAACAAAGCCAACACTGTCACCTCTCTTGCCGAAGCCAGTCACCAGACATACAGGCAATGTGCCAGGTCTGAGGGCAGGAACAGCCCCAGCCAATGAAAAACTGGCACAAACCCTGAACAGTATTTATCAATACTGTCAATAAAATACTGTCAATATTTTATCAATAAAATTGATCAAACATCTTTATTTAACTCTCTTGGAATTCTTTTTGCTGATCTGCTTTCTCCATACCCATTTTTACTTTTTGACCGACGCTTAAGAGACCCCAAATTTTCCCGACATGGGAGGGCTGCTACCCTGGGTGGGTACTTGGTGCCGTGATTATTAAATGTTCTCGTATTCTTGTTAGTGTGGCTACATGACCAAAAGACAGAACACACCGTCCGGGTAAGGAACGAGTCTCAGGGCCGACGCTCACCGTAGTTGAGGTTGCACAGGTTCCCCGCGTTGAGGAAGAAGTGGGTTCTGAAGAGGTCCCCAAAGCCACCACGTCCCGGGCGGAAGGGCAGAGGGGTGTAAAGGTGAACCCCCCCAGCCCAGTACGCCTCCCCCCCCAGGTAGTCACCTGGAAAACAAGCGCTTCTGTTGCCTTCCGTTTCCTGTGCGTCACTTAACATTAGTGTGTTCTCAGGCTGTGCGGCTCTCGAGCTCCGAGGCCTGTGTGGTTCCCAGATACTCAGGTGCTCCTGAAACTCACCCTCACTCTGCGGTCCGATGCTGTACATGCTGAACCCTCGCACACTGGTCGGGCCACCCAAATAAAACCTAACGAGGGTGCAGAAATAATTGTATAACTGTACTACATTTGTAGTTTCTGTACGGATGGTAACTGGAAGAACAAAAGCAATATTTAAAAAAACAAACTACATACAGAAGCTAGAAGCCATGGCCTGATAGTAACAGATGATGCACAAAGGGAATGGAGGGAGTTCAACATTATTTTAGTCTTCCTGACACTGAGGAGACTTCACACAGGCTCATGAAGGGTTGGCTCCCCACCCAGGGCAGGGGGTATCACTGTGGGTATCACTTAGCAAACTAAGGCTGCTGCTGGAAGAGGTGTTAGTGGGGCCAGCAGGGGGCGCTCACCCTGCGGTCTGTGTCAGTCCTAATGCCCCAGTATAGTGACGGGGACACTATACTGTAAACAGGTGCCGTCCTTCGGATGAGACGTAAAACCGAGGTCCTGACTCTCTGTGGTCATTAAAAATCCCAGGGCG